GCTCCAGATAAACAGCTAACGCTGAACGGAATATACACCCACATCACCAAGAACTACCCCTACTACAGAACAGCTGACAAAGGCTGGCAGGTCAGTGGCTCCACCGCATCTGCCAGGGGACATCTGATTTCCAGTTACTGTAATACTTGGGCTTGATTATTGAGCTGCCGTTCCTCAGCACTTTATTAGTAAGTCTAACAAACCTCAATCGCCCATTCACTGTTCTTCCAAAGATGCATCACCCTGAAGAGCTGCAACATATGTGGAAAAGGAAGTACTAGTACCAGCTGTCCTATATTTATGTTTAAGCCAGTATGTATAATTGTTGTACTGATAATATTGGATCCCAGGTTATGACTAGAAGAAGGCTTAAATGTATCAGAAAATAGATCCCACTCCACCTTATCTCCAACACATGTCTCATCTACAGGATTAGAGGAAATTTAACAACCCGTAGCTGTTTAAGTTTTCAAGTTTGCTCTTTCAATGAGCAATAAACATTCATTTGGTAAATAACAGTGGAACCGGAAGACATTTTAATATTCAAAGCAAAGCACAACAACCAAAAGAAATAAATAAAAATGGAAATAAAAGCCACTTTCAACCAAAAACCACAAATAAAATAGATTATGATGTGTACAGGGAACTAAATTGCCCTTTAGAAGTTAAGTTACAATGAGCTCATTCTGCTCTCATGTGATTAATTGATTATTACAACAGGCTTTCTGACATCCTTAAAAAAAAAAAACAATAACTTTGTCTTTTCTCCATTGCTTTATTTAGATATAAAATAATTTTAACTGACGGTTTAAGGATGAAGTGCAGTGTTGGTGTTGTGCAGCACTGTTTCAATATTGTTGAAAACAATATTGACCGGTTTTGCCTGGTGAAATTGTGTTTTATTCAATGCAGCATATTTTTATATCACCGAATGAAAACATGACTGATTGACTTCAGTGAAATCCATAATAGATCACATTCCAATCCCATAAAATCATGGATTGGTTGCACGTGAAACCGTCACGTGCGGCAACATAAAATATTTCTCTCCTTTCGTCCAGAACTCGATCCGCCACAACCTGTCCCTGAACCGCTACTTCATCAAAGTGGCCCGGTCCCAGGAGGAGCCCGGCAAGGGTTCGTTCTGGCGGATCGACCCCTCCTCGGAGGGCAAGCTGATCGAGCAGGCCTTCAGGAAGCGCCGGCCCAGGGGAGTGCCCTGCTTCCGGACCCCGGTGGGGACGCTCTCCTCCAGGTACGGCTCGCCGCCTCACCCCATGTTTAAGCTCGCCGCTCCACGCCGGTGATTCTTCTCGTCGTCGTTTCAGGAGCGCCCCTGCATCTCCCAACCACATGGGGGTGCTGTCCGCCCACTCCAGCGGAGTCCAGACCCCAGACAGCCTGTCCAGAGAGGGATCCCCAGTCCCCATGGAGGCAGAGGCCCCCCCAACAGCACCCACCCAGACAGCCGCAGTCCAGCCCAAGCTGGCCGTCATCCAGGAGGCTCGCTTCGCACAAAACTCCCCAGGTAGAGCCTCAAGTTTCTCATGAACAGATCCAGCTGTTTCAGGCTGTTACTAATGATTGTTACAGTTATTGATTGATTGATCTGTTATTTTTGATGATTAATCAGTTATTTTCCCAACTCGTCGGTTAAGTATTTCTATGAGTAATAGATCATTTTACTGATTAATCAGTTGACTATTTTAGTTTAGTTTGTTCATTTTGATGGTTAATCGATTAATCTGCCATTTTCATTCATGAATTGGAAAAAAAAATGGCTCTTTCTGCAGATTGTGCATTTCAATCTTCTTAATACGATATTAGAAATGCACTTGAAAAATGCAATTCATTTTTTAAATAATAAAATAAGCATTTATTACCTGAAATGCAATAACTTGACGGCTTTCCTTCAGTCGGCCATTTTCGCTTATGAAGCATCACGATTTTTGTTTGCTGCTGACATCATTTCCTGTTTCCTGTCCAGGCCCCCCTCAACAGCCAGCCGGTGCTGATCGCCGTGCAGCGCCAGATGCCTCAGACCACCATGAAGCCGTGACCTACACCATGGCGACCCCGCCATGGTGACGACATCGGTGAGCTCCGCTCCCGTCATGCAGACCGTGCACGTGGTCCACCAGATCCCGGCCGTCACCATGGCGACCGTCGGGGGGCAGCCCGCCTCCGCGGAGAGCCCCGAGCCTCAGGAAAACGGAGGCGGCGGAGGAGGTCGCCAGGAGGTCAAAGGTGAACTTCACCGGGAGGCGTCCGCGTCAGGCGTCAGCCGTGACGTCGCTCGTCAACTCGCACTCTTCTCCCATTGTGCTTTGCAGTCAAGGTGGAGCCGGTCCCGTCCATCGCGGCTTCCTCGATAGGCGGAGTCGGCCGCATCATCCAGAGCTCGCAGGCCGCTCCCTTGGCGACCGTCACCATAGTGCAGCAGGCCCCGCTCGGCCAGCACCAGCTTCCTATCAAGGCCATCACGCAGAACGGGACTCACCTGGTGCCCATCAGCACCGCCGCCAGCTCAGGTGACGCCTTTTGAATAATGGTTAGGTCGTTTCATGGTCGTTTTATCCAATATTTAACAGTAAATAGTTACATAAACTGCAACAAACGTTACAGTTGTAACATAAAATAAACCTGTGGAAATGATTACCTTGGAAATTAATATCTTTATTCTTGTAATGGGAAAGGAAAAAGAAAAAACACCCTGGCTCTTCTATTTCCTCACGGAGTTGACATGAATTAAAGATAAATGAAACACCTGCTTAAGATGGTGGCTTGAGGCGTGCTGACATCATTCTGAGCTACGGAAACCCAGGAGAAAATCCAAAGTTTCCCAAAATTGGATGTATCCCAGCCTTATGTGGATCATTAATCTTTAGCATCTAAAAATTGAGCACTTCTCCGTTTCCTCAGACTCAGAATGTCTCTTGTGTGGTAGAAAAATGAACATCATCAAAAGCTGAGACAGAACAAACACGTTGTTTGATAGGTGTTCTATAAAAATAAAGCTGAGAATGTCGAGTGTTGGCTTGTGTTTAACACTTTGCGCAAAACAAGGTCCAATTAAAAGAGCCAGTTTCGTTCGTCGTGATGTCAGCGTGTCACCGCAGCGACCGCCTGCCGTGCGCGGAGCAGTCCCCCCTCTCTGGCGTTTTAACGAACTCGTCCCTGTCCTCCGTGTCTCCGCAGCAAACCCCCTCCATCTCCTGGCAACGCACGCCTCGGCCTCGGCCTCCCTCCCCACCAAGAGGCAGAACGGAGAGCTGCAGGACCCGCCCGACGCCAAGAGGGCGAAAACCAACGAGGAGAACGGCCCGGCCGCCGTCGGCAGCAGCAACAACGGCACCACAGACAGCGGGGAGGCTGACGACAAGTAGCCCCGCCCACCTCCATCCCCATCCTTCCATCCCATCCTCCGTCACCATCCTCAAGGTGCCAAAAAGAAAAGCACTACAGATTGTGCGAACCCCACCCGTCCGCCCCCTATCTGCCACGTATTTAATAGCAGAAAACTCGATGCAAAAAAGAAAACAACAAAAAAAAAAAAAAAACTAGAGACCAAACTGAAAATGAAACAGAAGCGTAGCTGATGACTGTGAATCCCCCCTTCCACTCCCGTCACTCTCAAGTTGGAGCCCAGAGAGCAAGAAGAAGCAGAAACAGAAAACAGGGAAAGTCCAGAACAAAAAGATTCCATGCAACTTGCCCCGCCCTCCTGGCCCCAGCCACCCAAAGACAAACAGGAGCGTCTCCTCCTGGTAGCATTACAGAAAAATCAAAGCGTTCAAACAGTTGGCCGGCTTGTGGACATGTGGACATTCCCATCTTCGGCAGCTAGCCTCCACGTCGACCTACCTAACGAGTCGCGAGTAGAAATGCAGTATTCCGTCGTATCTTCGGTGCGCCACGGAGCAGTTAGTCCGTTTTTATTTGTTGTTTTTGTTTTTCCCTCGTTTTTTCCCCCGAGGCACCAGTAATAATCCGGAGCAACGAGCGCCGCCTCTTTAAGAAACATCCCAACATCTCAATTCTGGGAGTCTTTCCTGTTGTTGTTTTTTATTTTTTGTATGTGGACTGTTCGGTGACATGAATGTAGTCTTACTTTTTTGTTTTGTTTATTAATATATATTTTAGTTTTTTTTTCTTTTTCCTCATTTAAAGAAAACACTATGGAGTGGATGCTCTTTCTGTTTCTGCGAATGAAACGTGGTTCTCACTGTACATCAACAGATCTTTTGTCATATTTTCCAGATATCCTACGAATGAAAACGTATATTCCCGTGTGTATTTGAGCATACGTGTCATTGAGCTTGCATGTTACAGATGTAGAAACAAAACGTACCAGAGCAGATCATTTGAATATGGAACTGAAGAAAACTTAAGACTGAATCTACGCTATACGATTCTGACCTGTGCTGCACTTAACCTTGGTTTTTTTTTTAATTATTATTTTGTATTTGCTCACTTGTTTTTCTCCGTCATCATCGGCTGTGTTTATCTTTGTGTTGAAGTTGATTCGCCTTGGTTTTCTTTCCTTTTTTTTTAACTTCAGGCGACAAAGTAAGGCTTTTCAGCTTGTATTCTATGTTCTATGAGCTAAAACAAGTGATAGGTGTTCGTTCTGCTTCAGTGGAAAAATGCATTTTTTTTTATATATATATAAATTTATTTAAACACATATTCTCTCTGTATTTCTTTGAGTAAACCCTCTCAGTTGAGCAAATGCAGAAGTCTATATATTTGTTTCTTTGTGTGGAAAAAAAGGGGTTGAGTTTTAGTCTGAATGTTCCCAAAGATTAAAAGTCTGGTTTGTAATGGGATAAACTCAAAATGGCTCCCAAAAAAACCTACATACTGCAACTATAAGTTGTAGTTGTGGGACATCGAGAGCTCTTGGGGGGCCCCCTGCTGGCAACATAGGCCTACTTCAGGCATTTTCCTTTACCTGTCTCATTGCAGTAATAATCGCAACAAAAAATAAGCAGCAAGAGTTCATCAAACCTATCTGGAAAAGCAGATGTTAAATTTTATTCACAGATTTAAATGCACATTTTACAATCATTAAGTGTATCAGAAACCGGTTGGCCGAGTTCTCAGTTTACTCGGCATCCCCCTCTAGTGGTCCGGGTCTTCCGAGCGCCGCAAACGCACGTTCGGATGCAAGAAGAAGCCACAAAAAAAAAAATGAAATGTGTTTTGCAGCAAGTCGACTGAAGGCCGTGATAGATGAAAAAGAAACGAACAAAAAAAAAAAAAAAAATTGTCACTAGTTTTACTGCGGTGGATGCAAACAGACTTGTCCAGAGGTTGCTGAGGGATCAGCTCAAATGGCAGAAACGAGAGCAGCGATGAAGGTGCAAAGTGACCAATAGCACGAGGCAGAATAAAAATGTAACTCATGAATGCAGTGAAGAAATATCGAATTTTTTTCTTTTTTTTTCTTGAGGTGGCTCTGACAAAAAAAAAAAAATGATTGGAAATCGATTAAACTAAGACTCAAGGTGCAAACATTTTCTCTGTGTAATTAACTTCCCCATGAAGCCAATCTGTGAAAAGAACTTCTCTCTCAAAATATACCAGCTTTTCTCCGGAAATTTTAGACTGAAGACAAAACCGTTCTGGTAAACGGAGTATTGCACAAATAAAGTAAAAAAAAAAAAAAAAAAAAAAAATACAGGTTAATTTTTAAAGTTTTTTTAAGCTACTGTTCTGTACAGCTCGATATGGTTACTTCAGTCAGGTGTATATACAAGCAAAGAAAATCTAAGGTGATGCCTAACAAAGCGGGATCCCCTCACACACCTAATAATTTTACACACTTTGTGTTCTCGGCGCGCGCGTTTTTATCTGCGATAATATGTGTGCGCACGCTCTCTTCGGTTTCAGAGGCACTCTGCCTGTAGTTTGGGGTTGGGCGGTGTTAGTTAACCAAGACGTCTCAACTATCAGGACGGGAATAAAAATAGCCTTCGGAAGACATCTTAAAACTGTTTGTATTTCAGAAAAAAAACAAAAAAAAAAACTTTCCCTCATCGCCGTGGGTTTGGTTTGGGAGCAAAGGTGGCGTACGTCATGAGTTTCCCATTAGTCCTCCTAAAAAAACAAATCTGTGCTTTGTTGTTTTCTTTGTCCACTCCATCTGATGCTCTGATGATCCAGAGTCTCTGCAGATAAGATGGAAGTGCAAAGTCGAACTTCTAATTCCTCAGAAACAGAAAAGGGGAAAAAAATAACAAAACAAAAAAAAAACCGTGCTGCTCAGCAGGAAGTCACGAGGGTCATATTTTCTCGTCAGTCATCTCCAGGAACTGGGCGTACACGTCTCTGGAACACTCCCCCTTTGGGTTAAACAGAAACTTGTAGTAGCTGCCGTCAGCACAAATGGCTGCAGGAAGACAGAAAGAGAGAAGAAGAAGAAGAAGAAGAAGAAGTGAGCAGGAGCAGATAGAAGAATCTGATTTCTTGGACGCTTTGGTGCCGAGTCTGATAGACGTGTGACCCTTCCCCCCCCGCCCGACAGGCGCCCCACGCCCACCGCTAGCTCACCTATGACGGCGTTGGGCTCCGTTCCGAAGGCACACACGCAGGGGGAGCCCGAAGGCACCTGGAACTTGGAGAAGCTCCACTTGGAGCTGAAGTATTTGGGGAGGAAGCTGGCGGACGCCAAACTGCAGAGGAGAAAGGCGAAGTCACAACTGGTTCTTAAAGAGTCACTTCAAAACGATTGACTTGCACTGAAATCTTCCACATTTTGTCACATGACAAAAGAACAAACCGAGATGGGGTTTTTTTTTTCCCTCTTCGTCTTTGTTTTTGGTTGTGAAGTTGAAAATAAAAACAATAAACGGTTCCCAGAACTTTCTACAAATGTAACTCTTAGGTCTTTCAGCATGGCTTCAGGCTACGGTGGCCGGGAGTTGCAAAAACACAAAGCAAACCGAGCGAGCGTGGACGACGCAAACGCCAAAACACGAAACAAATGAAAACAAAAAGATGTGGCAACAAAAGAAAAAAAAAAATGCAGCAACCACAGGAGGAAGAAGCGAAGGGAGAAAATGCCATGATTATAGGGAAAAACAGCAATTACGAAATGCTGCAGGCAGAACAGATGTGCTCCAGACCACTAGGGGGAGTCAGTCAATAACCAGGTGGTCAGTAAAGACCTGATATTGTATTTTATGATTTAATGGGAAGTTCAGAAGAAAGACTGAGGGAGGAAGACAAATTTTGTAATACTTTATGGCGTTTTTCAAACATGCAGTCTTTTACAATATTATAGAACAGCTCCAGGTCCCACCTACTGGTCTGGAGGACTTATGTCAACATCAAACTATTAGTAGGATTTTCAAATGATTATGAAAACAGCCATTTTGAATAAAGATCAACATGAACTTCAGCCAAGACTTTTTTTCTTGTTAAAATGGTTTGCTCATAATTTTAAAACATTTTCTTATAAAATTCTTATAGTTCTGCTGTTACTATGTCTACACTGAATGACTGAAACACAAGCCACTTTCGCAAAAAATTTGGATTGAAATCAGAAGCTGAATATTATTCAAAAAAACAAATGAACAAAAAAAAAAATCAGATTTTATTTTGATTTTTTATATTGCCCAAAACTATCAACTTTGCTTTTCTTTAACTTTACAGTCGTGCTGGTCTTAATCACTTAAAGCGATGAAGGTTTTGTACTTTGTAATGCGACAAAATGTGGAAATGGCTCAGAGAGCACAGACCTCGACTGTTTGTTCCTTTTGGGGTCTTCCGCAGCGAAGATGTGCACGGTGCCGTGGTCACTGGACACGCAGATCAAAGACGCATCCTGATTGAAGTTGATGCTGAAAAAAAAAACCAAAAATGAAAAAGAAACATAAGCAGATTTCCTATCATAGTTTCCTAAGAGGTTTTCCTTTTAAAAAATGAAAGATAACTATCCGAGGTTCTTTCCCTCACCAGTAGATGTTGGCCGTCTGCGAGCCTCGCCGCAGCTCCTGGATGAGTTGTCCCGCCGACGTGTCGAAGATCCTGATCAGAGTGCCCTGCGGAAAAGCGACGGGAATTAAGTCGCAGGAAGTCAGAGGTCGCCAACCCCCTCATCCAGCAACAGCAAAAAAACAAAAAACAAAAAAAAAAACCCTCCCCGCACTTTCTCCGACGCCGTGGCTATCCTGGTTCCCTGCAGGTTGAGTGCGATGCAGCACAGCGCCCCCTCGTGGGCGGGGATGTCGACGGGCGGCTTCTCGGTGTTGGCCAGGTCCACGATCTGCACGTGGCCCGAATGCGTTCCCGGGAACGCCAGGAGGGAGTTGTTGCTGTTGGGACACAGCACGCACAGACCTGGAACGCACGAGACGGCGGGCGCCTTACAAACAACCAGACACCCGCTGTGACGACTGATAACGACTCGGCCTGTCCGGACGGGACGACCGGGAGCCCGAGAACCCACGGGCGCCGGCACCGACCTTTGGGGTTGTAGCAGGTCTCGAACACGTGCAGCTGATGCGGGTTGTGCGTGAAGGTGAACACTTTGATCATGGAGTCTAGGACTACTACAATCCTGAAAAAACAAACAAACAAAAAATATCCACACATCCAGATGTAGCCGTCTAATGTTTCTGAAGGAAAATGGAGGCAAAGTGGAGTCCGCCCGTACCTGTCCGCCGAAGCTTCACCGCTTTCACCTCTGTGGAGAACTCGATCTCGATCACCGTCTTCTTCTTGAGGTCGTCCAGATCATCACTGGAACGTCAACCAATCACACGATTAAATGAAAGTATCCAAACGCATTTTACAAGTAAAAACGAGTTTCCAACTGAAGGACTTAAAATGACGGTTAATGATTATTTTAGTCATTGACTACTGTGACGATTAATCGGATTAAGAAAACTTTTTTTTTTAACGACGTCTGCCTTTTTGCTTTTTAAGTCCATCTACTCCAGTCAACTATTAATTGCTTGCTAATTACTTGACGATTATTTTAATAATTGATTCATCACAATTCAGCCGACTAATTGTTTTAGCTCAAAAGAAATGCAAAAAACAAAAAAAATCTGCAGAAAAGTGTCTTCCATTTTGTTTTATGACTTCACTGTAGATTAGAAACTGAGCAGAAAGCTAACACTGTGTCACTAAAACACAACTATTGTGAAAAGTTAAAGTTTTTCCTGAAAAGACAAGGAAAGAAAAAAACAAAAAAAGGTAGAAGATGGAGTGCTGCAAAAAATAAGACGAGCTTCTTCATGCATCTCCACCTTGTAGATCTGCAGACAAGGAATGGGGATGGAGATAAACTGCTGGAATCCTTAATGTCAAGACTGAAACAAGAAGTTATAATATTGCTTAAACTGAATTTGGCGGGAAGTTTAAAGACAAACTAAGAAAGCTCCAGAGTTTGCTGCTCACTCGCAGAAAATCCCACTGAAAGTTGGTGAGGTTTGTGGTTCCACAGCGCAAAGGCAAACCGCATTTTAAGCTTCGTTGAATACTTCTGCAAAGGAAACCCGCAGTCATTTTCTCAACCTACCCAATCAGTAGGAATGTGGCAGGCATACCTTTATTAGTCGGGTACTTGGGTTTCTTCCCTCCTCCCACCAGCGCCAGGTAGTTACACCTAAACAGCATCTCCACATGGCCGACGCCTCCCTCTAGGAACTCTGAAACACAAACACGGGGGACATTCCCGATCTCTGCAACAGATCCGTGCGTGCGAGAGCGCGCCGACACAAACGGTCTGCTGCACTGCTGCGTGGCGTGAAGGAGAAACAGAATGCTCTTCAGGAAACCGTGCACATTTGCATCCTGAATGACATGCCTCCATGGAGGACGCTTACCCAAATTTAAGCCGTTACATTCCAGTAATAGTGCAGTATATTTCCAAGAATAAGCAAAAAAAACAAAAAAAAAAAAAAAACATATATATGTAATTTTTGCACTTATCTTACCTTGCTTTTCCTTTTCTTTAAGAGGATCTGTGTTGTAGACACGAAATCCATTCTCCATTCCACAAGCAAAGCATCCTGCACAAGAACACAAAGACCCAACAAATGCAACTAAATTCTATAAATATACATATATTTTATGATCATTCCCACAGAGTCTAGGTAACAGGAAGTGGCAAAATAAAAGCTGAAGATGAACCACTGCCCACAGAGTGAAGCAAGCCACTAAACCTCCACCGTTATTGATGGAGAACTTCGTGGTGGAGTTTCCACTGATCCGTTCTGGGTTCACTTATCAATTCGGCTCCAGCTACGTCAAAGTTTCATACCTCGGCTTGACAAAAACGAAAAATATAAAGACACTTCCACGGCCCGTACAGTGTCTTTATGGAAAACTTGGTACAAGTAAATCACACGGCTTATTCTGGAAAGTACGAACGAGGAAAATATTGTGGAAACAAATGACGTGCGGGAATTCAGAGCTAACCTTAGTACTGTTGACATAGCCGCTTTTAGCCGATAGCCGCTTTTAGCTGATAGCCGCTGCGTTCGAAGGGCTTTCTGCTAGCAGCAGCGTTAATGCTAAGTTAGCATACAACACCCATTACACATAACCCTCTTTTCCCAGCTTGTGTTTATATCTGTTTTCTATTGCTGGGTCCCCGAGTCATTACTTCGTCAGTCAGAATATTTGTAAGCAATAAACTAAAGTGGCAGCTGCAGCTCTAGTTGGCTGAATTCAAGCGTAGGAGCTAATGCTAATGTTAACTCTATTGGTAATTTAAGCTGGTAGTTCAAAGGAAAACATATTTATTCATGTAAAAGAAAGAAAAAAGAAACAAAAGAACGAATGTGGGATTTAAGAAACGATGACTGACGTGTCACACTGAGACAACTAACAGGCAATGAATCGTAAATTTACGACGTTTCTCAATTGTATTAGACAAGGGGGGTTGAAATAAAGATTATTGCGATTATGATTCTTACCGTGATCCTGGTTAAATCCAGCATAAAGAAGCCCATTTCCATGTGGATTGGACGGTAGTAAATTCATCGTTATAAGAAAGTAGCCAGCGATGTGAAACGAGTAAAAACTCAACAGTTTTTGTCCGTTGGCTAACTGGCTACCATTCCTCCACCAGAGTCGGGCTTTTGCTGGACACAGCGAAGAAGAAGAAGAAAAAAACAAAAAACAAAACCGGGGCTGTCTCTCGCTGTCGGGATCGGAGGGAATTCACTTGTCTCCAGTGGATGTCGTAAATGCGTGTCAACATCACGTCATCACATAGTCTGAGTTAAATGTAGACGCCTTTCAGCAATTTCAGAGCAGATCAATTACAATCCTGTACCCAATTCAGTCATTTGATTTGACCTAAAATCTGTTTTTCCTTTTTTCATAGATAATTTTCATCCGGGAGTAACCCTGTAAAAGCAAGGAAGTGTCGACGGACATTGCATCTCACAATGAGAAAATCATGAACACAGAAATACAATACGGTGCACAGACGGCTGATGATGTTTGACCTGCCAAATAAGCCGCAAAAGCCCCAGTGGCCTAATGGATAAGGCACTGGCCTCCTAAGCCAGGGATTGTGGGTTCGAGTCCCATCTGGGGTGGTACTTTTTCCTTGTATTATATATTATCACTTTCTTACATTTCAAACATTCCTTTTTCAGTCAATGATGACACCATGAAGAATTACACCATCTTACTGATCTGACAACTATTTTCAATAGATGGTGCTGTATTAAGCCTTTTTAAATTTTTTGAAATTTGTACACAGCTAGGTATGTTCCCTACCAATTAACATAAAATAAACTGCATTTCTTGAAAAATTTTAGGTAAATACTATTAACAAAAAACAATTACCACACCAAATCACATCACTCAAAGCAAGTGACTAAATTTTTATTCAAGGAAAAAAAAAAAAATTCTAAAGGTAATTAAATTTGAAATCACATACATAAAATTATATGTCGAACTACAGCAAACATGTCTGTAAAAAATACAAAGATACATTTTTAGAATTCAGTACAATTATACATTTCTGACAATGCAGGTCTGTGGCAACCACGCAATATATGGACAATGTTAGAAGAGGAAAACTTGGTTTCAAGTCTCCATATCTAACCAGCACCCAGACAGCCAAGGTGAGATTTAACATCATAAGCAATCAGTTTTTATTTTCTGGCACAAAGCTGAAGCTAAACTAACCTCCTTCATAAGGGCCATAGTAAACTGATAGTTAAAATCCACATTAAGATTAATATAATGTTGATAGAAACTAGGAATGGACAAGTCTCCTGTGTCGCTTGAGGCCATGCAAACTTGAAAAGCCTTTGTTACAAACTGCGCAAACATATGGTCTCTCTCCTGTATGCGTTCGCATGTGCAAAGTAAGAAAGCAGGATTGGACAAAACCCTTTTCACATATGGTGCACTTGAAGGGTCTTTCTCCAGTATGGTACCGCCTGTGAATCTTCAATTCTGCTGCGGATCTAAAAGACTTCTCACAGTCATCGCACTTGAAAGGCCTTTCGCCTGTGTGGATCAAAGTGTGCCTCACCAACGCGTCCTTCCCAAAGAATCCCTTTCCGCAGTGCTCACATGGGAAGCGCATCCCTTTGTGGTGGAAGTTATCGTGTTTTAGAAGGCACCTTCTAGAAGTGAAGGTCTTATCGCATTGAGTGCAAGGGAAGATCGTGGTAGGTTTTTCGTCTACGGGTTCTCCGGCGTGATGCACGCGCTCCACGTGCCTCGTCAGCGTAACGCCGTGCCTGAATTTCTTGCCGCACTCCCAGCAAAGGTACGGATATGCCTTTGTATGCTTTTTCTGGTGCTCCACAAGATCAGAGTATGAGCGGAACCTTTTAGCACAGTGAGAGCACTGGAAAGGCTGGTAACCGGTGTGTTTCCACTCGTGTCTGATGAAACGCTTCAAACTGGAAAAGGTCGTGTCACAGTACGGGCAAGTGAAAGGCTCAGTGGGGTTGTGGGCATCGATGTAATGCTTATGAAGGGCCTTGAACACGGGGAAGTGCTCCTCGCACCGATTGCACTGGAACGGCGTGTGGGATTCTTTGTGCATGGCCAGAGCCTCTGAATCACGTACTAGTTTCATGCAGACCTCGCAGTAGAGCGGGTTGTGGGTCTGCTTGTGGGAATCCAACGTTGACTTGTATTTAAAAGCCTTGTCACATTCGTCACATCTGAAACAATGTTTCACGTCATCTGGGTTCTCGGGATCCACTTGCTGCTCAGTGTAGCAAATGTTCCTCAAGTGGAACCTAAACGTTTGTCTGCATTTGAACTCGACGCTGCAGTGAGGACAGTAGAATGGACCTTCCAGGCCACTCTTACTTCCATCTGGGCTTCTTTCTCCTAATTCCCCGGAAGACTTCTCCGACATGATATAATCAGGATCTTGGGCGGCGCTGTCTGGAGGATGATCGTCAAATGTCTCACAAATTACCCCACTGGATGACTGTTCACCAGCGTCTGACGTGGTTTCTTGTCCTTGAGTATCTTTATCTGGTTTTACTTTAGTTGAAGTCGAACATTTGTGCTGCTGCAAGAAACGTAAACTCTTATAAAACTTTTTGCACACAGGACAAGCAATGGGCAGCTCCTCTGTGTGCTGATTCATATGTCTCTGCAGGAACCTGGCCTGGGTCACCACTTTGCCACACACTTTGCATGTTCTCTCATCCAAGTCGTTTTTTGCTGAACTCTGGGAAACTGTGGTACCGCCCAAAGTCTTACCTGATTTTCTCCACTGCGACAGGTACCGTTTCATCTTCAGTCCTCGATTCTTTCTCACTGGTCTTTCCCACAAGGGGTCTGCATCAAAGTCTTCCTTAAAGCCCCTTGCTTTACTTTCCACTTCATAATCTTTATCGTCGTCGTCTGGGCATTTCCTTCTCCGCCCACGTCTGTTTGGCTTCTTCTCCGCACCATCTAGCAGTGTCACTTGGCCATCCTCCCCAATGATCAGAGTCCCAGCATGGTCATCGTGCTGGTCATCTACCATTTCCCCCTCGCTGGCCTCAGTGCCTTCAGTGGGATCCGAGACCACAACATTGTCCATTTCAGCCTTCACCTCTCCACTGATGCCAAACCACTGTGGCTCTGCACACTCTACTGTGCTCCCAGGTACTTCGACATACACTTCTTTGTTCTCAGATTCCACCTCCATCTCTGAGCAGACTGTATACACGAGGCTACTCTCTGTGTCGGTTCCTGGCTGCTCGTTGACAATCACGACTCTTTCCACAGGAGGAAGACAAAGGGCTGATAAGATGCCACTGTCGACAACATAAGACTCTGAAAAGAAACACAATAGATCAGTTCAGTTAGAAAATGCAAACAACTTCCTGACAGAACTGTTAAATGGCAATGAACCTGTATACCAGAGAAGGATCTCCTTACCAATATCTTCAAGGTGGGTGAGATTTTTCTGTGTGTCTAACAATACTTTTAGATCTTCAGGTTGGACTAAAGTCTCCATTGATTCATTCAGGAAAGAGGTGGTGTCACTCATCAATGAAACAACCTGACAAAAATTAAATGATTTTAAAATGATATTCTCTTCAAATACATTTTTTGAGTACAACAAAAAGCCAAGATGTTTTCCTCTTGAGATTATGTGTATACCTGCTGGAGACTTTGAGCAGGAAGGAGCTTCTCAAGTCTGGACAGAAACAGCCACATCAGAGTCTGAATAGCTTTGTCATATGTGGGCCCAAAGTCTCCAGGAAAAACATCCTGAAACACCATCAAATCCAGTAAATATGGTGGGTGACCACCAACAACTTTAACAAGAACTGAAGATACAAAGCCGTTGTGTACGTAGGCTTACCTGGAAAAAGGTCATTCTTTCGTCTGGATCTCTGAGCAAGTTTTGAACAAGGCCCATGAAATGAGAATCAGACACCTCCGCATCAGACTGTAGGCAGAAGCAGAATCAATTGGTTTTTGCAAACTGATAGTAAATGACAAGCAAAATAACTCCATTTGTCAGAAACTCAGCATGCAACAGAGGTAAGAAAGTTTACCTCTATTTTCCAAAGAGACCTGAGGCTCTGCATTCGGTCGAGGTGTGGCTGAATAATCTGCAGGTCGGCCGTCTCATCGGAACGACACAGTTCCAGGATCAGCTGCAATTTAAAAAGCCAAAATAAATAAATCAGTGAGATAACAAAATTGTTTACAAAGCCGCTCAATTTCCCCTTCTGCTTTGTTTGGATTTACTTTAGAGTTGGTCTCTGTAGAAAACAGCAGTTTGATGATTAACATTAGGAGGTTGAGGCACTAATTCGACAAGTGCAGTTGTGTTGTTAATACATCATTATGACATTTATTTTGGTGACAGAAAAAACTGCTTTCTAAACACCAAACAATACACCCTTAATGTTGAGAAAAGCCTCTTATGCCATTATGTCACACACCCCAAGCCCTGGACTCTTTCAGGTCATGATTAATGTAAAAATATCCAATCAGAAACCAATGTTAGCAGACAAAACCCGACTCACTCGTGCTCTGAGGCCCAGAATGAGTTCAGCTCGCTGCCTTGTAGAAAGAAGCTGAGGAACAATCTCCGTGACCATGAACACAAACTCCTCCAGCAGGCCATAGTCGGACACAATCTTCTGCTCCACTGTGTGCCAGATCGCAGCAGACACCAGGCGGATGGGGGAAACCAAGAGGCGCAGGGCTGAGAGGGGAAGAGTGGGACCTGCAAAACAAGGAAACACAGTCAGCAGTTGCTTGAAAAAGGAGGTTTACGTTTTAGAGCAAGTCTGGGATGGACATTCAAACCTAAAGTCAAACATTAATATACCCCAGCAGATGATTCCAGACCTGTCCTTGGGATTTCCCGTTCAGACTGAGACAAGTGATGTGTTTCTACTGCTCTGAAAGTTGAACTCTTAGCTTGCTGCTCTGGGCAGTTTTATGCCTCTCTAGGGATTCTTTGATATTATCCTCTGGAGGATAACTTTAGGCTGTCTGCACTCTCTGAGTGTAAAGATTTCTCTCTTTCATAGCGTGTTACTTCACTGTAATTAACTCCGAATGAATATGATTTCTTTGAATCCATGGGTACAGTGAGAATGATTGATAGTGAAATCAACTGTCTACTTGTTCCATGTCTGAATAGGACTTCCAAAATAAAAGTAATTATTTTAGAACATTTGCTTTTGCTTGTCTTGGATTTGAAAGAATATATTTATATTTTCCACTAGTGATCAGAGTGTTCACACTTTCTTTGGACTTTTGGTGGGATTTTTTCTAGCTCCCATCATTTTTTCAAAAGCTGCATGTCTTATCTCTTAGTGAAGTTTCTTTGAATGAAAATAAATACCGACCCCTTTTTACACTGGACATGTTCTTCTTTACAAACTGAAAAGAAGAAAAAAAAAATCGCATACAAAATGTTTGACCCATGTCATGCGGTTTAAGACAGTCATCGATGTTGCTATCCAAACATTTCTGAATTCGAAGCAAGTTACAAAAAAAAAATCTCTGAAAAATTTTCTATTGTTTAGCAAATAAAATGAAATTTGTCATCCTAATTCTGATAAACAAAAAAAGTAAGGTCTGATTTAACTTCAGGCAGTTTGGTAAGGAAAAAAATAGATGTACGTGTGTTTTTACTCATTGTACGTAAATATCTGGTGTCAGCTGTAGCAAGGGATCGTTGTTAAGCTTAAATTCTACAAAACAGCGATTGAAGACAAGTAGATTTTTTTAAAAGTCAACTTAGTAGACCAATAAGCCATGTAAATGTCCTTACTCAAACTTCTAAACATTCTCCAAAAGCTACAAAACCATGGATATATGTGTTGATGGCTGATCAAGGCTGAACACTTGATTCAAAAGTGGTTTATTACTTGAGGGCTCGCTGAGACAGTCCTGGAGAAGGATGTTATATGGCCACTGAAATACAGTGCAGAAAGATTTACTTATGATTTAAGAGCTCCCACAGTGTTCTTGTGTATGTCGTTGTGATTGAACCCCTCCATATACTTCAGTTTTACTTTATCTACGTTATGAGACTTTTAAAATGAGCTGCTGCATTTGTGTTCAATAAATAGGTCTAATCTTCACGAAATAAAGTGATTTGATATGGAAATAGATGCTTGTCTGGCCCAGGTAAAGTCTGCATAGAATATTTTTATATTTGAAGAATTGATTGGGGGGGGGGGGGAGAGCAGGATTCATCTAATATTCACAAATGTAGCTGTTTAGGTTAAAAATGGCTGGATATGAGGATTCTTACAAATCACCTAATCTACATTAACTTTAGCCATTCAAAAGGAATAAAACGGCAATTCGTTTTCTTTTGAGTAAAATAAAAAAACACAAATTTAAGTTGTGATTTGGTGACAACTTTTAGTGTTTTAGAGAATGCAAATTACCCCCACAAGGGCAGCTGTTTAAATGTTGCACACCTCTTGTGTTTTGACGTATAAACGTCATTTTGTTATTGAAATCTTTTTCAGACGAAAACTTCTGACTTGACAGAACTATTTAGAGTATTGACAGAACTATTTAGAGTATTTCACAAAGATATTTACTTTAACTGAACATTTAAAGTAAATATTTGTGACAGCGTAAGACTTGCTCTTCACAAAACAAACTCCGATTAAGTCGGACATTTCTGGTTTTATTTGCATTCTCTGGACTTGATCAAATATGTTAATGTGTCGTAAAGGATTTATATTCAGTTTAAATAAGTTTTATAAGCACATAATTTCGGAAACTTTTGTTTCTGAAATATTAAGAGTGAACTGTAAAAACCACCGGAGTCATTTCAGAAGCTAACCCTAGCCTAGCATTAACTGAGTTAGCTCCAGTGCTTCTCTGCTAGCTAGTTTGGCACTGTGGCAGAACACCTTTAGCATGTTCTGCCACGAGCCTTGTAAATAAGCACCTCTGGCGGCGTCTAAGATAATCTTTAGTCCGACTTCAATAAAAATAATATGGACACTATGACGAAAACCGTCAGTTTTAACATATTATTAGGATGCTATTCCCGCGCGCGCGCTGCGGCCTAGCTAAACAAATCTACCAGTTAGTGTCTTTACTCACCGGGTAACTCGGAACTTCCTCCTTCCATCTTAGACAGTCACTGTGGTGACATTACAATGAGAACAACTGCTGTCCGGGACTCGACCGCAGTCAAAGAGATTCCTTTTGACAGCGGCTTTGTTCAATGCCAAAGTCTTCCAGGCGCTTCTTCTGCGTCAACGGTTGCTCTGCGTTCCGTCTGAAACAACAGTCCGGACTTCAGTAAGCTGGCTCTGTTTCGTTCCGCTTCGCGATGACCTGTTGCAACACCAATTTGAAGATACTCAAATGTGTTGTATGTAGGAATAGTCGCCCTTGAATAGCTCGGTTAAGCTGAATAATTGTAGTGTAATTGTTAACCTTCTAGTGTTGACACAACTGATTTATTCCTCACGTATAGAGGCCGTTTCATGCCTCAACGATCCATAAGGTTTAAGTTACAGTAAATCTCAAAAGGTTACCGCCCATGTTAAAACGAATGCCATAATGTGAAATAAACATAAAGACTTTTAAAACATACTGTATGTGTAATATACACAGTTGAACAGAGGAAACTAAGATATACAAATCAAATAAAACCAAATAAAAAGATGCATACGCATAAACCAACATGTATTCACTTTTTGATTTATATTTCCTCTAAACATTGTCTTGAATTCACACTCAACTTTTATGTCTGCACACAGCACATTTAACTGAAGACATAGATTCTTTTTAGTCCCACAATCATCCAAAACCAGGAAAAAAACAACAACAATGAAACGGAATCTTAAAAGTTTTGGGCCACAATTTTTAAAAAATGTGGCATTAATTCAAAAGTAACCTGATAATCTTTCCATGGAGAGCACACCTTCAAAGCAAATGAGACTTTTTGGCCCCAAGTTCCAATTTTATGTTTGAAATTTCATATTGTATATTACATTCTTGGATGTTTTCTTGTAATTGCACTGACGAACAAAAACATATATCCTGTTCTAGCGGTCACAGATGCAATACTGATTAAGATATTTTTCTTTAGAAAAAAAGAACGCAACTGATTGGGTGCACACAATTTGTCCACTGATTTCGGTTTAACCTGGTGTCCCTCAAAACACATCCACATCTCTGCCTATGTCAATCTCATGGCCAGATAACTTTGGTAGTCCTAAAAGCAGAAAATATTTGGTTTGATTTAATGTAAGAAAATAAGGACAAGGATCTCTTTTTAAATTGCATTTCACCCTTAAGAACCAAGTTCAAACCCCTTTGCTAGAAAATGTGACGAACCTTAAAACAAAGGTGACATTTGTAGGATGTTTCTACCAATCCTCTTTCATATATATGTCAGCCAAGCAGGAAGTCGAAATTGACATACCACTGAAAATTTCTTGTGCAATTACTGTTTTATTTCTCAGCAAAGGCGTGTCAGGAAATTTCAATACCAATTGTAATCTCCTTAGAGCGCAAAATCAGTTACAATCTACATCAAGCTGCACAAAAGGAGTTTCACCATCCAACACCAGTTTGTGAAAAAAAATGTTGCCACTCTTTGGTCCAGTATTACTTACCGCAGAGCCTCGTATATAGTACTGTAAAAAGTTCATCTCCAAAACATTTCGATCCGTCCGACAACGGTACACCTGCTGTTGGGTACACACATTTTTCTCAATATTTGCATTTGCTTCATAACATTTTCACTGCTTTCTTTCAAGCGTTTCTACAATTTTACTCTAATCCGGCACAGATGAGTGTAGAAGCCTTTTATGTCTGAACATGCTGTAGGACTTGAGGAAAGCCTTTCCGCAGATGTGGCAAACAAACGGTCTTTCCTTAGTGTGGATTTTTGCGTGCAAGTTGAGATCGCCGAGGCGTACAAAGCCCTTTCCACAGACGTCGCATTTGTGAGGTCGCTCATTGGTGTGGTGTAAAAGGACGTGCCTCTTCAGCTCTGAAGCAGTTCTGTAGGCACTCTCGCAATCAGGGGTGGTGCATTTGAAGGGGCTCTGTCCCATGTGCATCATTTTATGCCTTGCCAATGTTGACGGAGCGACCATCTTACTGCAGTAGGGGCACTCCCTGCGGAACAGTTGCTGGAGGTGCTTGGTCCTCTGATGTCTTATCAGGGTGGCCTTTTCTTTAAAGATCTTCTCGCACTGGGAGCAAGAATAATTCTTCTCATTTCTAGAAGCACTGTGGATGAGTCTAATGTGGCGGTACAGGTTGGATCTGTGGGCAAAAGTCTTTCCACATTCCGAGCACAGGCAGGGTTTCTCCCCTTTGTGGACTTTTTCATGGGACAAAAGATATGAGAATGACTTGAACTTCAAACTGCACTGGCCACACTGGAAGGGTAGATGACCTGTGTGCTGCCATTCGTGTCTGATCAAAGCATTGAGCTTCGGTGAAATCTTTGGACAGTGATTGCATTTGAAGGGTTTGCTCATTTGGTGGGTGTTTTCGAAATGCCTAACCAAGTGCTTGAAAACGGTGAAGGTCTGGTCACAGCGGGTGCACTGAAACGGTGTGTGCGCCGTTTTGTGTCGGGCCAACGTTTCCCCGTCTCGCAGCACCGTCCGACACACACTGCAGTAGAGCTCGTGGTGTGTGAGCAGGTGCTTTTGTAAGGAAATCTTGTACTGAAATGCAACTCCACACTTGTCGCACTTGGAAAGGTTCTGGGTTTCCTCCGGCTTGGTGGGATCTACATTCTTGAGGTGGTACTCGAAGCAGGTCTTTTTCAAGTGTCTCTCAAGCGAAGAGAGGAGTTTATACTTGGTGCCACATTGGGGGCAGCTGTAGTCTTTGTCGGGAAAGTGGTTTTTTATGTGAGCTCGCAGCTTTTTGCTCACCTGCTCTTTGCAAATGAAACACACGAAATTCCGAGTCTTTTTTGGAGTGCTGGCTTTCGTATTGGACCGTTTCGGTTTTGGGGATGGAGAGGACTTGTTTTCAGGAGTGTGCGCATTAGAGCAGCTAGAAAATGAATCATTTTCAGCGGGACTGCTGACAGGTGTTGCAAATGAACCATCGTCGTCTGAGTAGTAAGACCAGGAATCTGCATTACTGAGATCGTCTTGGCAAGACTTCTCCGAGTAGTACGACCAGGAGTCATCCTCACTGCATGTGGCTACAGGAGACTTATGCGGAGACAATTTGCTGGAGCGAACAGACTCTTGCTTATCAGTCAGTAAAGAGGGAGTCTTGTTGGATTGTCTGGTTTTCCTGGAAGCGGGGTTTTTGTCCGGTGGGGTTTTATCCCGTAGCTCCTTTTTCTCCTTCTCAAGAATCTTCTTCATTAACATTCCCCTGTTAGCCCTCACGGGGCGAGAGATTGTGATCGTTGGTTCCTCTAGTTTTTTCCCAGGAACTTTACGCTTCTTCACGACGCGAGACGCAGCCTTCCCTGGACCTTCAAGGACGTCACCCACGTTCTTCTCAGTTTGATTTTCATTCTTGGGAAGCTGTGTTCCATTTTCCATTTGGGATGCTTCGAGTAATGGTGAAGAGTCTTCTTCCATAGGTGATGGGCATGATGGGACACAGTCCACAACATCAACTTCTGTTTTACTTTCAGATGTCTTGCTCGATTTTAGAGAAGGAAGTTTGAGGGCAGAGATGATACAGGAACCATCAAGAGAAATATCTGGAAAAGAGATGAAAAAGATCATTTTTTGTACAAGACTAAAGTGCATGAGATACATTTTATGAAGGCTTGCAAGAAAGTCAAACTCATATCGTACTAATTCATTAAAACTGCAAATTATTTCAAGCTTTTATTTCCAGAAATTTTGATTATTCTAACTTACGGATAATAAAACACCCGACAGTCAGTCGATGCATTATTGGCTTGCGGTCGAAATTAGTTGCTCTTTCAAAGCTCTTTTAGTAGCATGTCAAGTGTCGCTGGAGTATTCACTTCCTGTTTGGAAATTTCCAGATTTGCTCAATCAGATCTACAAATTACTAGTTCCAACTATACTCTGTCTTTACAACTTCCAAGTTCCCAGCCAATATTTGAGGGCTACATTTTTGCAGCTTTAAAAGCAGCCAACTTTTTTCAGTTTCTCAGCAACCAACATAGCCAACCCTGTGTACAACTTGGAGGTGCGCATCCTTCTCCACAGCTGGGAGCCGTCCTGCAGTGGGAAGCATGCTGCATATCGCTTCCTATGTGCCAGGAGCCCGCATGTGAAGTGGTATCTCTTGACATGTAAAGAGCTCGACGCAACAAGACTAACCAGGTTCTAGTCAACTTTTAACATTGCTATCCTAACCCTTGACGTCTTTAGAAAGTAACTTTTTTTTGCAACTTGGAAACATTTGGGAGACTATACTGCTTTTTGTGAATTTTAAATTTGATCAAAAAGCGTCAATTTACTTCACCGGCTTTTGCAAGTCAGTCACGCGGTTCTCTTACCATTGCGATGCAGTCGACTGAGGTCTTTGTGATGTTGCAGGAGGTTTTTGAGCTCGTCACACTGAGACACAGGCTGCACATATTCTGCCAAGACACATGAAACCTCCCCGAACACGGATGCAACCTGCGTACAGAAAACGGTAAGGACGTTTTACTGTCTGCCAATTTGAAGAGGAGACAGAAACTGGAATTTATTCATGTACCTGATGGAAAGTTTGAACAGGAAGGATGTTTTCAAGTCTAGTCAAAAACAACCACATCAGGGCATCGACGGCTTTGTCATATTTTGCACCAAAATCTTCACGGAAACTCTGCTGGGAAGTAGGAAGTATATTTTATTTATAAGTAAATAAATAAATACAGACAAACAGAAAAAAAGATAAAGACTTTTTCCCTGACTAATAATTAAAAATGGTTCTATAGGCTGTTGGCAGACGTTATTTTTAACCAGAATCCTAGATATTGAGAGCCTGATGTGTTATTTAACAAACTATCTCAGCCCTAGAATTAGGCAACAAATGATAATAATTACAGCAAACTAAAAGCGGATCAACAAGCCTAACCTGAAAGAAGCGTTCTCTCTCATCAGGGCTTCCCAGTAGCTTCTTAACCAGATCCACAAAGTCCAAGTGGGACACTTCTGGATTTGGACCACCAACCTGTAAGATAAGCCATCGATAAACATTCAAGCAGTGAAAAGGAGCGAATACATTAAGAAATGAAAAACCAAATATTGAGACAAAAAGCCCTTGCAGAATGCAGTTTAACAACTAACTCCCAAGGTGGATCAAGGATGCATTATTGGGGTGGGTGGACTTCAACCCCTGGGCCTAATTTGTGACAGTACGTTTCAGTTGACTGCAAGAACATGTAGGTTGCTCAGCAAAAGTTTGACATCAGCGGAGTTTCAGTCACCTCTTCAAGCCATGACCCGATGAGGACTTCCATCCTGTTCAAATGTGGTTCAACAAGCTCGCAGTCAGGCGCAGTTTCCCGTTGGCATAAATCCAAGATCAACTGAAAAAACCCCAAAGAAAAACACGTTCTTTTTTCCTCCTAAACAACTGTTGTGATTGGTTGTCATTACGCTTAGCTGTGTTAATTGCATCAAAACTACAGGCGGGGTTTGAATCTGGACGACAACTTACCCGTGCTCTCAGACCCAGAGTGAGCTGGGCCCTCTGCCGACTGGTAAGCAGCTCTGGAATTGTGTCGGTAACCAAAGAAACAAATTCCTCCAGGATGCCGTAGTCAGCCACAACCTTCTGCTGGACGGTCTGCCAGATCGCTGCAGAGGCCAGGCGTAGAGGCGGCACCAGGAGACGCAGAGCGGAGAGAGAGAAAGGCGCACCTGCAGGTAAACAGATGCTACATGAACAAGAAGGATCGTTGGTTTTATTTCATGTTTTAAGAACAAGCATGCAATTCCTCTCATTTTTAAGCTCGGACAAGCAAAAACCAATTTATCTGTTGAGTATGAGCGATACAATAATCCCAAACCACTCCATCAACTATCTGATGACTCTGACCTCCAAGGCTATTAATGTAATTTGTGCTTTTTTTTTCAAAGAATCTAATCTCCACCCGATCAGAAACGAAGGGGATCCAATTGCTATTAAATAAGTCTTCCTAACATCTATTTAAATTTAACAATAAAGTTCTTTGGATACATGAGAGTATAGTAGATAAGTGTGGTACACAGTAAAGTTTACGGAAGCCAAACACAGGACATTTGCAGAGAACCCTCATACCCACTGTCAATCTTACTAGTTAGGCTCGTGTTGCAGCTTACAACAATCTAATAATTACCTAATTTCTCATTAAAATCAATACCACTTTCCATTATGCAAACCTTTATTTTTCCATAAATTTGGACGGCTTTATCTAAATAAATTCTACTCGGCTTTGCATTTTTAACTTCCTTAATAAGTCATTTAAAAATGATGTTCGAGCTGCACAATTTTCTGACACTGGCAACTTTTTCCTAATGTCTTTGCACAAAAGAAAAACATCTATCACACATTTCAAAGGCTATAAATACGATGTTTCAGCAACAAAATGCAGCGTCCGAAGGGGTTTTTAAAAATATGAGAAAAATCATAGTGACGTTTATTTTTGCTCCACGTTAATTTTAAAAAGATATGAATACTCTTTTAGATGTAGAGCTTCGCGCTCACTAACATTAGCGTGCAGCTAAGCCATGCTAGCTAGCTAGCTGCACCATGTGTTTAGGCAGCCAGTGGCCGTAACTCACCTAAAGAACGTTCCTGAGAAATATCTTCCATGTCGCAGTTGATCTAACACTTAATTTAACGAAAACTAGACATAACTGAATAAAATGGGCTCTCTCGGTTACTTCCTTTTAGCATGTATGAAGGCTTTGTCCGACGTCTTTTCTATTCCGGTCTTGTGCGAAATTCTGTTCCCCTGTGAAAATCTGTTCCCCCCCTGCAGCCTCCCCCTTGCAGCCAGAGAGACGGTGTTACATTGATTCGTGTTTCCCCGTAAGATCCAGCTCCCCCTGTCTGTGCTCCTCGTCGGTTTACACCGCCCGGACGGCAAAATACGCGCGCGCTTGTTCAGGGCACTTATCGAGAGAACTACGGATATCGTAAAAGCTCAAAAAACGTGTTTTGGAGAAGATAACTGCTCTCTCAACACACACACACAAAATTTTATATATATATAAATACATATAGGCTTTTAACTTGAATCTTGGAATTAAATAGTGATGGCAAACAGGTCTTCCAACCTCAAAAGCTTGGAGTTAATCACCAAAGACAAATGGTCAAGAACACCAGTGAATACAATGGGGTGCGGAAAACAAATAGATGACACAAAACAATTCTCCGGACTCTGTTTATTGGAAACAGCGAGAAAAAAATAAATACATCTCCACCTAAAAGATGAAAACTTTCTGTAGCGAGGCTTCGACTACAGCACATAAGCTTCAGTTTATGGATCTTAAATGTGAAAAAGAACATTTTTCTGAAATGAACAAGCTTGGCAATAATGTGTAATTACAAGTGATGTGTACTTACTGAGTAGGAGTTCATGTAAAAAGTCATTTACAGAAATGAGTTTACTGGCTTGTTTTCTTAAACCCGAGCTTTCTGGATTTACTCGTCACAAGCCTTTAAATATGAACGGTTAAAATACACTGACAAAACAAAATCAGTTCTGATGGCATCTGAACAAATAATGAGTTGTGTCCAACTTGCTGCATTTTTCTTTCTTGGACAGAGAACGTTACATGTACTGCATTTTTATGCCAGAAGAAGCTTTACAAGTGGGAATGTAAAATAGTCAAATAAATGTAGGGGGAAACATGAATAATTTGTCCATTTTTTAAATTATTTAACAAATGTCCCTGTTTTTTATGAAAGAACATTTGTTTTGATTGCAAATATTACAAACTCAACATTCTCCCAGCACAAGAAATCCAACTCTAATATTATACACTGTCAAATCTTAGCTGTCTTCACCCATTACATGCCAATGATCCTCCTTTTTTATGTAGAAAACCTGCAGTGTTTCGCTTCCTTTATACAGAGCAATAAAAAAAGTTAAGGCAAGATGCATCAAACAGAAATCCGAATGCAGGCGTTCCGAATCCACCGGTTCAGGATCAGTCGGCAGCTCCAGAGTTGCTCTGTCTCAGGCATCTTACGCTGGTTGGAGGGGAAGAGGAGAAGGCCGTGGTGGAGGAGGAAGGGATGTGATACCATTGTAATTATTATTCTTTTATTTGGGGGGGATATTTTGCAAAAGGTGTCCACTGCTGTTCCCGTTCCCCTCCGATCGCTCCCAATTTGCCAATTCACTTCTCTTTGGCACTTAGGCTGGCAGACTCAGCTTCTTTCCTTTGAGAACTGAAACCAGGCAGAGAAGAAACAGCACTAAGACGCAGCAAGATGACCTGACATAAGAACAAATATGAGGACATGCTCATGAAGTGCCTGAAGAATAATGTTAGAACAGTTGAAATTACTTTAGCGCAAGAATTACCATTTTAAATCAAACAGAAAATATTTCAACGTGACAATTTAAGTAAATGGGTACGATAACACCTATTCATTCAGCCCGTTTTCTTCTGCAGTCTCACTGTTAAAAAGGTGCAGTCCAAATGAACCGAAAAAACACAAAAAGTTTCTTCCTGTCAAACAGCTACTCACACCTGTTGCGCTTCCTCTGACGTCCTTTTTAAAATTCTATACTAAAAAATAAAAATATTTGAGCAACCACATTTTCCATCAAGAAAGCCCAAGATGGACATGATTAGAATCTGGTAAAGCACAGGCTGAGCAGTTTCTGGATCAGAGAGCAGCAGAGTTGTGTAGTGGAGGTAGAGTTGACATTTGTTTTCTGGGGTTTTTTGTTTTACTAACATGAAGCTAATATTCACCTCATTTACTGCCAACTCTTATCCACATAAAGATGCCATGAGGTATTCGGCATGAAAATGTCAACAGCACATCCTTTAAATCCAAGTCTGAAACATCCCACATCTCCAGCCCAGTTGTCTCCATTGTCCCAACTTTAATACCTTTATCCAGGGCCAGATTTACAAGGATTTGGGCCACGACACCCACAACGGAGGAAAAAAAATTATACTCAAGCAAATTACAATACATTGTAGGTTACCTATACATGAACTGATGCATGGCAGATTGAATGCATCCCCTGAGCAGTAGCTTCATATTGTTTTAAAAAAATAATAATTATAACTTTGTATTTTAAAATGCAAAGTTTATATTGATAAAATCCCCAAATTTTAACATAATCTGATATGGGCCTAAACATTTTATTTAAAGAACAATTCAAAGCTAGTATTCATTTATAAATAAAAAAATAAAATCTTTGGAGTCCCCCAAAAGTTGAAGCCCTGGGTTACTGCTCAAGAAAGCCTTTTCTAAAGTCTGGCCCAGCCTCTACCTGCCCCAATGGGATGGACTCTCTATTTCAGTATGTGGTTGTCCAAATGTTCCTTTGCAACCTGAAACACTCCCAAAGGCGAGTTTCGTTACAAGAGAACCCTGACCTTTACAAACAGAGCGAGGTTCTGTGCTTTGTGACCGAGGAGAAACTGGCTACATAAGACCACACAAGATACATGTTTTACGATGTTTATCACCTAAATGCTTTAGAAAAAGGTTACACATTCTTTGTAAAAATTAAAAGCATTAAAATTTTTTTAAAGCTCTCACCTTTTGTTACATACAAATAGAAGAAATCGCAGTATAGGATTGTCTGCACCACTCCTGCCACAATTGCGATCATATCAAAGAATCCTTCAAAGTAGAACCTCCATATCCAGTTGATGAGGTAGAGGGCCCTGTAGAGTCCTAGAAAGAACAGGTAGTGGGTGGTGATAGTCTCAGCTTCTCCCGTTTTGCTGATCATGAATAGCTGCGGGAGGATGGCCACCGATTCCAAGTAGATGGAAAATGTCCACAGGATCTGTAGGATAAGCAATTCCAAGAATGTTTTTGACTGTATTGGATAAAAGATTTGCTTTAAAATTGGTGTGGATGACTGACCTCCAGAGGAGAGAAGTCATGATTGACCAAGAAAGCCAGTCCGCCCACTGGGACCACCAGGAACTCCACTCTGAACGTGTCATGGTTCCCGTCGTACGTCGCCTTGAACTTCATGTAGATCAGGTAGACGGTGGCGTAAGCGCATCCGATGTAGATAACCTGCAGGACGACAACAAATGCTCTGGCTTAACGCAAACAGAATCACGCGGGGCGGGAGGATGCGGATCATCCTTCAGCAAACACAAGCGTGTTAGTTCAAGGGTAAGATCCACCTCAGCACTGTGTGCTCACGCCTTTCGGGAAATGCTCCTCGCAATGCGATTTACCTTCATTGTGGTGTTGTAGAGGGAGATGAAAGACGTAAGCAAGTCCAGGTAGCGAGTGGTGAACACCAAGGCAAACAGGACCTGACTCTTTCCAGAAATACCTGCAAGGAGAGAGTAGGTGGCAGGAACAGGAAGTTAAAGAGTGCATTCTTCTCACAGGAACAGGAAGGAAGTATGCTGCTGCTGTCTGGCACAGACTGTTTTATTGCCAAACTACCAGTGTCAAGTGTCTTTTATTAGTGTTGTGTGTGACCAATAGTTTTCTTGTCATCCATAATTGTTATGGCAGGTAATATGATCATAATCTGGACAATATAATCTTCACTGATTCATACCGTCTAGGCCAAGTAATCAGGTGAAAATGTATGCTCTTCATGTTCAGATGACTTAAATTAATAATGTCTATCAGAGAGAGGCAATAAATAGAAATAAAAGCCTCTAAAAACACACATTTAATTTTAACTCAGACATAAGTTATTTTTAATACCTCACCATCAGTTTACACAATTAATACAAGAATATGAGAGCAGTGAGGTGGAGAAACTTCCAACTCTGAATCCAACTAAATAAAATAAGTGTACAATACTTTTAAACGTTTTTGACAAAATTCTTAAAAACATGTGTTTTGGGGAAATTATTGAATGAAAAAGTATAACGGTCTAATCAACAGACTAGTGCCAATACTCCTAGAGTATCTTTACAATAATGCTAACTAATCAGAACTCAACTGTGATGCATTATATGCGACACAAAAACTGGGTATGCACTCCTAGAGGGGCGCCACGCTAGAGGGGGCGCCAAAACAATGGCGGAACAATTGTTTGTCCGTGCAAAACCTCCAGAGGAGTGCCTGTAATATGCTTGCATACATCTCAGAAAGTACCTATATGCCTCCCTGTGCATTAGTTTTGGGTTAATATCCGGCTCGCAGGACGGGGACACCAATACTGAAATAGGTCTCTGGAGGTTCTATAAGACCGGGAGAGGTAACGATCTGAGTCAATCTCCTGCAAGCAGCAGTGATAACTCAAGGAGCTGACTGATGCACAGCTGTAACATTTGATCCAAACAAAAAATGAGAGAGAGAGAAAACACAAAACAACTATGAAAACACAGCAAACTGCCTCCTGCGACTCTCCAGGACACAGCCAAAGCGTGGACTCTGGGACTGTTACTTCTGAACGGGCCACTGCCACGTCACAGAACACACAAAACCCAACTGTGGTGAAATAAGCGTTAAAAACGTGGAAGTAGCGCATTGTAGGTGGATAATAGAAATGCTGAAGGGCCGAGCATGTCAAACTAAGAGCAAACCATGCACAGTCAGCTGACGACACTTAGGAATCCGGTCGCCACTAAAGCCACCTGCAGGCGTTCATTACAGCTTCGCATTGTTCTTCGTCGGTGTGAAACGTCATATTTTCTGACAGAAATGGTAGCTTTACAACACCGGGTGCTGCTAGCAAGTTATAGCTAACGTTAGCTTGGAGCTAATATGTGAAGTTCAATTGAAAGACCGAGATAAATGCTTACATTTTGAACGGACATTTTTAAAACTGAGTTTTGTGTGAAAGAAAGAAGGAAGGGGTGTACTCACCTGCACAGGACCTGCTTTTCCATATTTTTAGCAACAAAATGATGATGGCTGCTAGGTGGGACAAGTCGCCGGTTAGCCTGAAAATGTTCATGTTTGAGGAAGCCCCCTCAGTCACCAACCGATCTCAAAGCTCTTCGGTGAATTCCGTTCCTCTCCGGTAACGCTCCCTTTTCCACCCAGCCCAACTGTAAAGCTGAACACACACGCGACGCCAGAAAAAAAAACTACGGTACTTAGCTCGGGGTGAAAGGGAGAAAATGGCGAGTGGCGAGCGACGTGGCTGGGAGACGTGGCCAACACAGCGGCGTCCAATGACGGGCGAGAAACGAACGAACATCAGCCAATCAGAAAAGCGCACTGCCTCATTTGCGTAATTTATGTGGAGCGAAGCGTGCCTTGCGTTTCAGAAAAAAAGCTCCGGGTTCTCTTGACTAGTTGATAATTTCAAGATGACAGCACATTCCGCTGAGCTGTATGGCGGATATATTTGACGTGTCATTAGGATACACGATAAAGTTGTTTTTTCAGGAAAATAGGTGGGAGATGTTGTAAAATCGGCAATCACGAGCAAAAGTTGATCATGATAAGTAAATGTGGCTTAGACCATTTTAGATGCGATTTTAATATTTTCTTGACATATTTTAAGGTAAATTATACGTTTCAATGTATGTTACCGAGTACATTCGTTAGTATGCACAACAATCACAAAATCAATGTGATATGTCACGCACAAAACTGGAGCTTCAGACTTAATTTAAAAATAATAATAATAATAATAAATTGTCATTATAAAAACTTCTCGATTTGACAACAGATCACCCTATTTGTTTTCTCTCTCTCTCTTTTTATGGGCAAAGATACTGACTTGGAAGTTTGATCAGAAACTACAAATTGTCGGATTGAAAATAATGGCCTTTCATGTCACTGAATGAAAACAAAACACAAAAGACAAATCATCTAAAAATGTGTAGTTTTTATCCAGGAACACAACTTTTACTCACAAAAACATCATGGCACATTTTTGAATTGTCATTTGGCATCATCATCTGGAAAACAAACCTTATTTTACATCAAGTGGTTGGGGGGGAAAACAGTAAAATAACAAATTAACCAATGAAGCTATCATATGTCAGAGCTAGACTTCATAACACATTTGTAGAAAAACCTCCAACATAAACATGTTGGGAAAAAAGTGTTAAATAGCTCTAAGGTGCAATTAGAACTTACATTTTTGCTCTTGTTCAACGTATAACCTCATTTTAGCTAGGCCTCAAAAGCTGTAAATTTTGTCAGCAGTACCTCCAGAAAATGTGTGTAAATGTTTTGCAAAGTATTTTATATTTTTAGTCAGTATAGCTTACAATTTGTGTCATGTATTTTATTGGGTTGACCTAACATTTTTTGGCATTTTTCTAACCTTAGTGTTTTTCCCATCTTTACAGACAGTCAATACAACATGGTCCTTTGTTGTGTGTGTGCATAATATGACAATAAATCCTCCAAGACCAAATGGCTTCCCATTTAAAATGAACACTGCAGAAATTTAAGCTACCATGTACTCCAGCCATGAGCAAGAAAAAAAAAAATCAAACGCATCTTGTCCCAGAAAGCAACATCCGCAGATACAGATAAAACGAATAAAGATCTAACTAAGACTGAAACAATTGTACACAAAGAAATGTTGAATACTGCAATGATAAAACACTCGCAGCAGTAAAAACAGCAGGAAACTGCAAGTAGCTCTTAGACAACAAAAAAAGAAATAACAGAAAACCGAATGGTTAAAGAAAAAAAAAAGTGGTGGACTGTTGGCTTTAATTTTGCCCGGGCCCTAAAATGATTTAGTTCGCCTCTGTTTTTGTAGGTTCACTCCTGTGCTACTCAGATTTACAGGTGAATGAGCAAATTTGAGAGCTTTTACTAATAAACTTGATAGAAAGCACTAAAGGCAGAGTTATAAGTTCACTTTGTTTTGCTGAACCTTTACTCAGTAACCAGAAAATGTAAATATTTTACTTTTTCCATTAGTATTTACAATTGTCATGTAAAAAAAAAAATAGATGTTTGCCTTCACTGGTGAAGTTAACATTTAAATCTTAACACAAAACACAAGTACCAGACTTTACAGATTAACACTTACAGCACGGTGATGATATGTTAGAACCTCATTTTTAGTGGCTGTCCTGATAGCCTCTCTTTTTTTCCCCCCTTATTGCTTAAGTAGTTGAGGTATCTCTGGATCCAAAAGATCTAAACCGGAGCACCTGAGCTTCACATGCAACTCCCCATTTCCACCCAAGTCGGAAACGGATGACTGCAAGAACGACACGTTTTACATTCCACTGCCACCCATGAAGAAAAAAGAAACCCCTAAAACATTTGGAGCGCATCCCCACCTCTGACAATCAGTTCCATTCTCACTGAGGAGAATCTCCAGCGTCCTCTGATGCCTTGAGAACAAAAACCGCATCATCCAGTACATAGTAGTCGTTATACATGTCGCCTTCGCAGAGGTACGGCAGTCTGGTCACGGCCTCCAACTCAAAACCCGCCCTCTTGAAAACCTGACTGCACAGATTTGTGACTTGCTCCTCCCACATCTTTCCCGCGATTTTAAGGTGCTCTTTCGGACGCTCCCACTTCCCTCCTAGGAGATGAGGAGGAAAAAAAAAGAAAAAAAAGTACTTTTTACTTTATTTTGGATTGGAAATCAAATCAAAAGCATGACTTTGTTGTTTCCCCACTGACCGACTTCAATGTAAGGTTGGAAGGGAAGCACAGCAGCCAAGACGAGTCTTCCCGTCTTGGGGACCAGGGAGCTCCTGATGTCCCGCAGGAGATGCAGAGGATCGTCGCAGCGGTCCAGCAGGTTCAGGCAGCTGATTACATCATACTGGAAACCAGTGTGCTGCCACTCATCTATGTCCAGCAGCCTATATACATCAGAAGTGCACAAAAACCCTTTTATCACTCGCTGCTAACTGAAAATAACTATTTTAATGGGATCAAATGAATATATGACACCGCAGTAAGTAATGACATGCTGAAAAAAAATCCTCTTTTAAACATCTGATTTTCACAAGATAATAAATAGGATCTACTCCTTTTTTAGGAGTAAAACAAAGAAAAATGGGAATAAGAACAAAATTGGAAACAGTGCAGCAAAACGTTTTTGGGTCATAATATAAGTTGAATGAAATTACGCAGAAAATCTTGGCATTTTTAAGGATATTTATGGTTAATCATAAAATGCTTAACCACTACAACAACAATACAATAAAATGAAACAGAAGTAGGAGGGGACAAAATGGCAATGCTCATATATAAACTGGCGAAAGAGTCAAATGACCCGAGGTACATGGAAACAGTAGATAATTTTTTAAATTATTAATCCCATGAATATGACTGTGTTTTAATAACTTAAACAGGTTCAAAAACATTTCAAAACTTGCATCTCTCGTCCCAGGAAGTGAACCATCTCCCTGCGCCCACTCACGTGTAATTCCTCCTCTGGAGATGCCACTTCATCGGTGGCGAGACCTCAGTAGCGTAGATCTGCTTGAAGTGAACTCCCATGACCTCTGTGACTCCTCCGTCCCCGGCTCCAAGATCCAGCAGCCTGTCGGCCTCCCAGTCCGGGCCGATCCGTAGCAACTGCTGGAACTGATCGGCGGAAAAGACGAACATGGAGCCCCGGCCCAGAAAGCTGAGGCGGGCGGCAGATCAGAGAGACGGAACGCCTCGGCTTGAAACACAAGACACCTGGTTAACACTCACCCATTGATGGAGGTGCGCGACACCATAGGACTGAGGACAGATGATACCAGAGAGTGATAGAGCTGTGTGAAAAGCCAGCTGGACTTCTCCTGGCTGTGCTTGAGAAACGCCTTGGTCTCAGTGTCCATGTGGCTCTGGACAAACAGGGGGCGCACTGATTCTCCCAGCAGGTCTGGACAGCACCGGTACCACTAAACGAGGGCAGGAAAAGGTGGAAGAGAACAAGGCAACAACAAATGGCTTCAACTGATTTGATAGTTTGAAAGAAATAGGCAAGGGCAAAATCGGTTTACACATTACATAGTCAGAATTTTAAAATGGATGATGTGTGTGTTGAGATCCAAAATCTCAGATCTGAGGCTCTTGCTCCATGATCTTATGGAAGATTTGTAACAAGAAAGTCATAAGATGTCATAATTTGCCATGAACGATGTAGGAGGGTCCAAGCCAACATGGAAGAAGGTGCTCTGGTCAAATTAAAGGAAAATTGGACTTTTTAGACAACATGCATAGCAATATACAAGGCAGAAAACTAACAATGCACATTATGCTCAACCTATACCACCAATACTATGAAATCACCTCCCTTCATCTGAGATAATTACTGCCACATTAGATCTGATCATTATCTGTAACATAATGATCAGATCTGATTGACTTTGTGGTCTTTAAAAGGCATTTCAACTTTCAGACTTTTCTGCATTTCATTTGTTTATGTTTGGATTTTCTAAAATGGTTTTATTGCTTTCCAACTTCTACCTCTGTACTGGTAATACCTGTACTCTACTACTTTAAAAATATAAAATCGAACAAATTATATGTCCCCTGACAGATGTTTTTGGTTTATCACTTCAGACACATTAAAAAAGTTTCAGAACATCAAGTTTACTTTAGTATTTGACAAAGTTAATCTTAGTAAATACATAAAACAGTTTCTAATGCTGGTTTTTATCCACTTATGGAAAAAAGTAATCAAAATTGTAATTACAGAAAAAAAAGTCCTTTTCTTCTTTTACAGTACAATCAACAAGTCATTGGGATAGACAGATAGTCAGGGCTTAAGAAACAACACATCAATGACTCGTATAGGAGGCGCTTTGATGGATAGAATCGGTGTCACAGCATGGCAAAAAAATATATTTCACGTCACCGTGAAGCTCCCATCCCGGCCGTATATGCGCATCCTTACCTCCGGATGGTCGGCTGTTCCCGCTTCACCCTCCTCGGTCACCATGCTCATAAATAGAGAGCGGACCAGCGGACTGCGGATGTGTTTCCCTGTCCACATCCTCTTGATGGAGAGCAGGAAGGCCACGTAGCCCAGCAGCCAGGCTACAAAAATCAGTGTTCTCAGCTGCATATGACACATAATGGAAGACAAAAAAATAAAATAAAAAGAAGTCTGAGCGATGAAAGCTGACAGAAGCAGCCGAGAAGTCGATACAGCGGCCACAGAGACAGATAGAGATGTGCTTAATAATGAATGGTGACAGAACAGGAGGTGCAAATCGACACGTCTCCGCTTTCAAAGCGACAACCAAACAAACCTGAGGAGGGCGCGGTGGGTTTAAGGACACCTGCTAATGTTTAATTCTTCTTAATCTTCAGGGGGGGAAAAACAAACAAACACGGTCTTAGTTGGGTAGAACCGACAATGTCCAGTTAGGTTTAAAGCCGTATGAGTCTCTGCCCTGATACAACAAAAACAAGAAGTTACTTCCGCATAGTGCACTTCCTCATCTGCGCATTGCGGCGCCGCGCAGCTTCTGCGCGCTTGACTTGAAGGGAGCGAGCAAATCTAAAAAATGGCTTTTGACCCCTTCACACACCCCCTCACAAATACAACCATATTTAACAGTTTTACTGGCCAGGTTTTAAAAGCAAAAAAGAGAACCATTTAACATAAGAAACTGCGCATAAAAAGGACAATCTAATACAAAACAAACGACATAGTTTGAGAAAATAGTTTTTTATTTGTCTGTCCTTGGACGGTCAGGCGGACACCCAGAAATGTTTTTATTATAAAAATAATTTTCAAAGGTAAAACCCGCATACCTTGCTATTTATTTATTTGTTTGTTTGTATCTAGTGATTTTTAACTATTCACTCGTTATTATTCACTCTGAGGTAGCATATATATATATTTTACAAACTTTGTATTTATCCCCTAAAATTGAGTAGCTTTCAAAAATTAGCAAATTTCGCTTGGGGAGCCAAAAAAGTCTATTGTATTCTATTCTGTTCTATTCTATTCTATTCATGGAGGACAAACAAATATGCTCTCAAATTAGTCGTCGCGTATCAGAATTAATAATGAAAAAAAAACTTTAATAACTTCTGGTGGGCTTAATCCGTATGTCGTCCATATATATATGTCGCCCATATATAAATAAATAAATAAGTAATAACCTCAAAATTTTATGGTGGTTTCATTTCAATACGGAGAAACAGAATACCAGTCATAAGTTTGAATTTATTCAAATGACAGCAGAGGATCAAATACACATTTCCTATTTCAGTCACACCAAGGATATGACGAAAAAAGATTTTGCTTTTGAACAGTTTTCTATTTTCTTCTTCATCATTATTGTTTATTAATGTATTTGACTTTGTTCCCCAGCCAGAGCACCTCGGCAAGGGCCCGACTCTTCCAAACGTCGTTTTCTGAAACAGTTGTATTGTGAAGCCAGCAGGTGTCGCTGCCACACAACTGCTACACCTGCGATAAAGAAGCTGCGTCGGCTGAAAGGCTCAAAAAAAAAGTATAGTAAGTATAGTAAATGAACTCTTGTTTTTCTGCATTGCTCGTATTTACACTAGACACAGACAGCGCTTGTAGTTTGGTCCGCTTTGTATTTAAGCGCTGTAGGCTGAAGGTCCTGTAAAGTTAGGAAAGACATAGCCATGACAGGAAACAGCTTGCAGACATTACAGACTCCCTTTAGAATTAAATTACAAACATATGAAGACCAAAGATTTAAAACACTTACTTGAGTCATAGGTAGCCCAATACGCGTGAATTAGAGACACGCAGTGGAAACAAAAGGTATCGTTAAAAAATCATAACAAAGAAAACGGGGTTTCAAACTTCTCGAGCATTATTGTCAAAGCAAAGCGGAAGTAGCTCGTGTGGTTCTGTTCCGCATGACGCTCCTCAGTCTCGCGCGGCTCAGTGAGTTGCGCTCCTCCGCTGCGTGTCCACGTCAGGTGAGAACTCTGCTTTACTTTCTATTATTGTCCTGCTAAAAGCCGCACCGACTTCACTAGAGAACAGCGGCGTTCGGGAATTGGCGGTGGAGCTGGACGTCTCCAGTCGGAACTGGAAACACCTGGACAGAGAGGGACAGTAAGTGAGGGGAACCACTGGCTGAGGTTCTGCCGAGAATACTCCACAGACGTTTTGGTTTCCTCGTGCGACCTGTGGAACTTACAAGATAACTTTTTAAAGCACACATTCCGTATTTATGTAGTTATTGTTTTATGAATTTGGAACGCACACACACACACGAACACACACATTTCTTTATTAATATAAGGAATCAACACTTAAGATGAATTTTTGCTGCCACTCTGAAGTTGTTCTAGAGTAGATTACGTGTTTTATCATGTGTCAGTGCAGTCCCACTGTAGCTCCCCAGGGATAACAAGCCAGGTTTGGAGCCCTTGTTTACATTCTGGCCCGTGTTAAGCAGGATCTGTGCAGTTGTTTATGGCCTGGCAAGGTGCCTGACTGCTTTTAGATCATGTGTCAGTGCAGAGACATGCATTGGCATCTGCTGCAGGGCCACAGTGCTGGACCACCAGCTGAAGTGATACTAACTGAACCATGCTTGTTGGCCATCACCAGCCGGCTCTGCTCAACTGTGTCCTCCTGCTCCTTCTTCTTCTTCTTCTTTCTTTTTGTTTACCATTCAGCCACTCAGGTTTGTTTTTAAATCCAGCCTGATGTTATGTCAAAGACAGAAGAAGACAAATCCCCAGAGACAGTGTTCATGCCCTCACTTCTTTTGGTCTGGTTAGTTTCCTTTTGTCGTGGCTTTGCACAGAAGATTTTAAGCAGCTGCTGACTCACTACTTCGCTATTACAGCTTAAGCCTCTTTGTCAGACTTCACAAACTGGCAAAATGCCTCACAGTACAAAAGAAGATTCTCTAGCAAAATTGCTATCAATGGAGCAAAACCATGTTGCCACCGAGGAAGAGAAACAGATCAGTTTTAGGCTTGTGACAGAGCAAGTTTCCTGCATTTCTGAAAACAAAGGCTGCGGCAAGTTAATCTGTCATTGTTTTACTCATATATTTTTTTTCTGCTTAAAATGTATAATTGGCACAGAGGAAAAAATGTACTTCTTCTTATTATTATTGAGTGGACATTGAAAGTAGCTGTTGCTCTTATTGTGGGAGATTTGTCCTGTTGGAACATGAGAAGGACAGTCAGCGGTGTAAAAGTGCACTGAGGTGATAAAAGTTCCGGGTTTAAAGCCGCTAAAATTATCCGGCATTTAGCTTATGCCGTTTAATGTCCTTTTTATTAGATAAGACGCAAAGTGGTAGCGTGGCTGGAAATTTCTCCTGGTGTATGGAGAAAAATACTGAACTGTTCCTCCCCCACCTGTTGCTGCACACTGCCTCTCAGATGGTTGAAAAATGGCTCCTATTTTCACCCTGCTGTTCAGGAATATTTCCATTAGCCACAGTATATGGGGTGCCTGCTTTAATGCTTCACCCCTGAAAGAATTTATTTAAGATATATATTCTTTTTGTCACCTAAACAACATTTAGTATACCACAGTATCTAAAGTAGTAACTACAGTTCTTTTGATTTTTAAGTAAATAAAACATTATTTATGAAGTGCCACACAAAGTCACAACATACAACAACATTAATTACATTGAAGTTACAGATCAACATGGTTTTCAGTCCACAGATTTGTTAGCAAAACAAAGCTACAAGGTGCTAACTGTTCTCCATGAAGCCACAGATCACATTCTGGGATCATAGGTTGCAAGCAGATGAGTGTTTGCATAAAAGCTGACTCAAATCACCAGGAACTTGGCCACTTAGAGAGGATAAATGACCTCAACTTATTTCCAAAATCCACCGAGAGCCAGTGTAGAAAGTATAACACCTGGACTGATACGACTTTGTCCGTTGGATTTAGTCTGGCTGCTGCGTTCAGAATAGCTTGCAGAAGTGAAATTAATCATCTGTCTAGACTGGCAAAAAGACAATGACAACCCAGAAAGCAGACAGTGCTTTTAATGTCGCTGTATTTCTGTTTTTATTTACGGTTTTACTTTTCAGTTAGCTGTAATGACTGTTCTCTTGAAACCGAGACATCATGTCTCGGTGAGAGCTACCTGTATTAATAAAGGTGAAAATATAAAAAATCTTAATAATAATGTTGTTGAACATCAGATGCAGACTTGCTTATTTTTCTTTAAACCCGTACCTGTACTAGCCCTGACGAAAACATTAAATAGATCCAATAAGTGCATTTATTCAAGTTTTTTTGTAGCTGCAAACTCAAGTTCCTCTGTCTAACTCACAAACTAATCTCAAAGGAAAATTTGCTCCTCAGATTTTACAGTTGAACAATTTATTTTTTTGTCTGCAGTAATGCAGCTTGCCCGTGTTTAAGTTCTGTTTCAAGCATAGATATATTCATAAGAAGTAACTCATTTATATACTTTTATGTAAATTACCTTTAGATTTAAAGTGTCAGATTCAGCTGTTTGTCCCAAGTGATTAGTGGGAAATTGTTTCCAGGATCCAAAAACTCTGTGGTAATTTTAATTAGTGATACCACCCTTCAGAGTTTTTATTTTCTAAGTTTTCACAGGCGTGCATACCTGGTGACTATGTTTTTGATTATGCATTTTTAAAGAAACTGACTGCCTTCATGTTGTATTTCAGGTGGCCATGTGCAATGTAATGGCAGGTGGGGCTACTGCTGCCACCTTCACGCCAACAGAGATGGATTATGAACATCTCAGCTCAACAGAAAACTAAGCCATCACCACTGAGCAGAGATAATGGACCCAAACTTCCGCTCCAAGAGGAAGCCTACATCCTTGAGCGATCAACGTGACCGTATTACTTCAACAGCTCCCTTTTAATATGCTGACATATTAAGTTTGCTGAACACCTTCGCTTGGGGAATTATTGGAGCGACAGAGGAACAAACAGCTTTGCCTCACTCCAGTGGACAAGCTGTGCATCTATGGTTTCATCTGCAGCCATGGGGAAGGAACAGGACCTGCTGGTGGCGGTGAAGAACGGAGATCTTCTGCAGGCTCACAAGCTCCTCTCTAAAGTCAAGTGCAACAAAACCAGTGAGTGTGAAATCCAAAGCAACAGCTTATACTCTGGCGTGTACAGTTATTGTTTCCACTTGGAAATGCTACCGCTGCTGTGGTTATTTTTTTCTTTTGGAATAACCACAGTAGCAGGTTTGGCTGTGGACTGCCAAATGAAAGCCACATACATGATTTAAACGAATCACACTGTCAAACTCCCTCATCCAGATTCTGCATCTTGTCAGGTTTAAAAGGAATTTATTTTTTATTTTTCGTCTACATTTTCCAACTCGGTCAACATGCATGTTTTCTTTTACTGTTGCGCTGTTATAAATGACAGAGCACGTCCTCAGCTGGGAAGCAGGAGCGGCGTCTCTTTGTGGCGTTATCTGCTTTGGGTTTTAACAGGATGGTCGACTGCTCAGTGAAAAGCTCTGGGAACAAAGGAGCGGCTGTCAGAAAAACACACATTGGAGTCAGTGAGCGGGCACAACTTGGCAGGGAATATTAAGAGTGGTTCTGCTTGGTTTGGGACTTCTCTGTGTATCCATTGCAGATACGATGCTGCAGGCAACAATACAGGGGATGGAGAAAGTTTCCTGGTATTTCATGAAGCTGAATACTAAAGGTGACTTGGACTATTCCCAGGTCAAAATTATAGGCTGTGGAATGTTGATTATTTTAAGGCAAGAAAAGCTGCATTTTGTCACACTTAAGGATGTTAGTAAGGCAAGATAAGGTCATTTTATTTATATAGCTTTGTTTTCAGAAACAAAGCAATTCAAAGTGCTTTACAGGAATTAAAAGGAAATAGAAACAAAATAGCAAACCAAAGAAAAGATCAAAAGAAAAAAAAAACTAATAATATTGATCCAAAGTAAATAAACTAGATACTCATATTCAGGATTGGCAGATAAATAAGTATCCTCTGGTCTAATGCCTGTTCTGGTTTGAATAGAATAGAAGTCTAAAAGTAGTTGCTAAGGTAGGTTTTCTGGGCTCCAAGTTCTAATCCTTGTTCTGGGTTGCTAAATAAGAGTAAGTAAGTAATCTCTGGATACTCCCATTCCTATTATATAAGTATAATATACCATAGTAAAATTCTTATAGTCATGGAGGTTTTGGAGTTCCTTCATAGAAACTTTGGCTCGTTTCTTGTCTGATGTTGTCCCGACCCTACTTAGGGTGTAAATCTTATGAAAAGCACAACATTCGTCCTCAATCTGGAAGACACTCCTCTCCAGAATTTGGTTTTTTTGGATTTGAAGTGCTTAAGTGCACAAAATCAAAACAACTTCCTTTTTTCTTTTTTTTTTTTACTTTTGTCTTGTTGGAAGTGGTACTATAGTCCAAGTTTTTGTTTACATTTTATCTTGTTTGCAATAAATTGATCGTAAATATTATTGAAATTAGGTTTTATTTTATTTTTGGAAGAAAGATAATCATTTAGAAAAATTGATTGATCCAAAAGTCAAAGAACTAACAGAGATTACCAATGGAGACCCTACTTTATCAGGTCCCTTGCATACCGCATCTTCATTTACATTAGCTGCAAATAACAGCCAATATTGATGCATACCATTGATATTTTAAATTTTTAAAATAGCAATTAGATGGAGCCAGACGTTTTAAGATTTTGTTCAAAGTCATCATTAAGATCTCTGTGAGAGGCCGATATATTTTCCTGTGTGGTACTGTCTCAGTCCTGCTCTCACTTGGACCCACAGCTTTCAGCTGATTCTCGAGAACTGTCACAGGGCAGAATCAATGGCATGCTCATTTGTCAACTTGGACAGAGCGACGAATGTCCAACAACAGCAGCAGATCAGATGCTGCAGCTGCCAGTGAGGGATTCACCAGTGACCCTCTCCTATTTACAGAACCCTGTCGATGAGTAAGGATTGACTGGCTTGTGGTGATGACCTCCTTTGAAAGGCTGCAGAAACACTCATTCCAAAAATAAAGTTATACTGAGTGCCATGGCTAGCTGCTGCTTAGTAGTTTAAACATCATCCTAATATTGTTCAGTGAACTTTCTTCTACTCTGGTAACCTCATTTTACCTGACAAGTCCAACAGAATCTCATAAATGCTGTTTCTAATCGATGATGGTAGGAGTTCGTCCTGTAACGGGTGGATGTTCGGCTTGAACCACTAGTCTGTCTGTCATAGTTGTGTCTTTGAGCAAGAGATTTCAACCGCCATCCCTGCTGGAGGTGGTCAGAGGGCCCGGTGGCTCCGGTTCATGGTAGCCTCTCTTTTGTCCGACAGCCTCAGGGCAGCTAGCTAGTTTACCACCATCAGCGTTTGAAATTGTCCTCAAATGGGTGAATAACTGAAGCCTTTTGGCATTAATAATCGCCACACAATTACAGGCCATTTGCCATTTACCATACAGGAACTTCTGATGGATGTGGCAAGATTGCTGCTAACTGAGAATGTTACTTTCATTAGTTATTAGTTAATTGGTTCATAAATGTTGCTTAGATTGACATCAAAACTCCTCACCTTTTGTAAGCTACCCCTCAATTTTTCTGTTGCTTTTTTTCCACTTTTATTTGCCTCATTACCAAAGTAAAAAAAAAAAATAAATAAAATTGAGGTCAAGCGCAGTAATAGAAACAAAACCCTAATAAAAAAAAATGGCAACTGCTTGCTCATTTGAAAGAGCCTTTCGGTGACCTCATTGTAAATTTTATTGTGAGTCTGATGGCAAAAGCCTCTCAATTAGTGCAAGTCCTTTGGGGAGGTAAGGTAGTATTTTAATTTTTATGGAGCTGTTAGGCAGACCCAGCGTTCCCAAACCTTCAGAAAAAACCTTAGACAAGGTGTAGGATGCATAAGCAGAGAGAAGCAGATGCTCATGCTCTAAATGTTTTTGGGTAGTGGGGCTCACTGATGGCTAAGGAATGAGCAGGCAGTAGATCAGTAGTTCTTGGTACTGTGTTATGTGTAGCCCTGATGTTACTTGTGATGCTGTTAGTGAAACATAGACAAAATGGCATTATTTTTTGTAAAAAAAAAAAAAAAAAAAAAAAAAGGGTGAATAAATAAACTTGAAAAAAACTAATAGCAGATAATGCTAGACACATGAATTCTTCAAGAACAAACCAATGTGAGTCGGTTTGCTCTGTGACCAGCGACCATTAACAACAAAAGCCGATATCAGTGTGTTTCTTTGGATTTTGCACTTTCAGAATTTTTATATGCAACGTGTTCACTAAAATGTGCAATATAATACTTCATGTTCAAAAGATTGGTGATACAAATATTCAGAAGTACAAATAAACATTTTATTGGCGCCATCACTAGTTTCATGTTGGATGGTGGGCTGCCTAAATCCTACAGAACTTTATGATCACTTTTGCACTTAAAACCAGAAAATTTGAACTTTTAAGTAAAAAATATTACAAATAATTGAACTGCGTCCTTCAATTTATGGGAAGTAGTTTTTAGAATTTTCTCTTAGTTTTTGTAGCATAACAATGACTGAAAAAGTCCAGGTCTCTTTGCATTGTTGTTTTAGAAAGTCGGCAAAGACGGTGGTACTTTGAAAACTTGGTATTTGCTTGGATCGTACTTGTTGGAAAGATTTGGGAGCTATTGCATAATGTGACCTTCAGTGAAACAAAGAAATGATAAAATATTAAAACACAGTTTTTCTAGACATAGCGAATATAGTCAAACATGTCTTTGACAACCAAACAGGCATGAGAATGTAGGTACAATTTCACGGTACATCCAACAAAGGTTCTTAAATGACAAGCTATATGTGCTCTGAGTTTCTGTTGGTTGCATGGACCTCACTGTAAAGCTGACTGGGAGCTGCCAGAAGGGGATTACCTTCACCACTGAGGGTGACTTGATGCACAGGCAGCTGAGACGGGAGGTTTCTTTTTCAATCAGCCATCTGCTGACATCAGGTCAGGGCTCAGTCAATACAAGTGAACTTACTGCCTCTTATTGCTTAGCATATGCAAGCACTGTTTTGTATTGTCACAGTGAAAAGTTTATTGGTTTCAGAGTTTAGTGTGTTTAAATTTTAAAACAATTAAGTTCCAGTTCTTAAAATAGAACACGACATGCTTTTTTGACATTGTGCATGCAATAATACATTCTAATTAAATATAATCCCTCCAGGTTCTTCAAAGAATTTAAGCAATATGTGTATAAACATCCACAACGTGAAAATATGACGTTGCCAAGAGTTTGATTTTTAGGTGATTTTTTATTCTTGTTGTTTAAGCAACCACATTTTCTATCAAACCTTATTAAATTTTAAACATTCTTCCAACTTGAATTGGATTCTAAGCTGAGTGCATATTTTTTATTCTAAAGTTTCTAATCCATGAAACATTTATTCTGTTTATTGAAACAGAAAACAAGGATTTTGATTTGGAAATCTGGAAATTGGAAATTGCTGATACCCCTTCTCATGAGCTGGACATATCGTTGCAGCCCTAGTTTTTAAAGACAAGACTTAAACCTGCTGCAACCAAGGTTGCCATTTTGTGGCAACTAATCCTGCTATCAAATCTTTTTTGCTGTAGACTGATAGACTTCTGAAGCCTGTAGGAGATGACACCTATTGTACAGCGCCTCTCACTCTTCTGCTTAAAGTGAGTAAAACCAAAGAGCCTGCCCTCTCCAGACAGGGAGTGGAGTTTTGGCTGTTGTGCAACTCTCCATGAATGGGGCCATTGAAGATGAACGTTTTTTTTCTTTTTCTTTTTTTTCCCAAACATTTCCATGATTGCAATGTGTTTTTGTTTGGACAGGCAGATGACCCAACCCTTTCTTGTGTCATGCCAAATGTAAAGCCCGTCGGGACTTCAGCTGTTCAAAGCATCTCATTTGACTACAGCGTTGTGATCTGTTGAATGACATCGGCATCCTTTTGATATTAACTGGACACATCAGCTGATGACATTTCGTTATTCATTCAGAAATGTTAGCAGTTTATGTTGGAGTCATTATTTTGTAGTGTTTGTTAGTGGATTTGGATTTTTTCATCTACCGTTAGTCGACCGTCTGTCC